GCGGCAGGTGGCTGGCCGGGACCGGGCACCGCTCGCCACGGGCGGCCGTCCTGGCCCTGGATGGTCACCGCCCTCAGCCCAAGAGGGGGTGGCCGCGCCCGCACTTCCCCGCGCACCCGCCTCCCCGCGCGGCCGCACCCTCGCCTGGCCCACTGCTTGGGAAGTCGGACGTCCTGTGGCGAGGCGGCTGGAGTGGGGGGCGAGGCGGGGGGGAGGCCTTGGGCGGTCGGGGTGAGCCTGGTAGGGCGTGAGGCCAGACAGGTGGCTCACTCACTCACTCACTGTGTCCCCGCAGCCCGGCCTCTGCCTGGAGCCTCAGCAACCCGAATGCACTTTACCGGGGCTCCTCCTGGCCCCTGAGCCCCCACAGAATGGCGGATGGAGGAAGCCCCTTCCTAGGTCGCAGGGATTTTGTCTACCCTGCCTCAACCCGAGGTAAGGACCAGATCCTGCCCTTTTTCCCGCCCAGAGGCCCACCACTCACCAGACCTGGTGCCTCTGGGGTGTGGCAGGAAGATCCTCTAGCCCCTGCTTCCACTGGTGCCCGTGGGACCCCATCCCAGCCCCACCCCCAGGCATGGCCTTCCCACGCTGAGCTCATGTTCTCCGCAGACCCTAGTGGCTCTGAACGAGGGGTCAGCCCTGCCAGGAAGGAAGAAAAGAAGGTAAGGGGGTGGGAGCATTAGGGTCAGGGTGCAAGGAGGGCCTGGGGTGGGTCCTGGGGTCACCCCCTGTGTCTTCTCCCCCTGCATAGAGGAAGGCTGCCAGGCTCAAGTTTGACTTCCAGGCACAGTCCCCCAAGTAAGTGCCCTTCTCTCCCCTCCCCTGCCTCTTGGGGCTGGCTCTGCACTGGGGGAGAGGGGAGGCGGGGCTGAGGCGGGCATCCCCAGGAGGTGGAGGGGACTCTGGGTGTGCTGGACAGGGTCATCGGGAGGGCCTCAGCTTGCCCATGTCCTTGGTCTGGCCCGCAGGGAGCTGACCCTGAAGAAGGGTGATATTGTCTACATCCACAAGGAGGTGGACAAGAACTGGCTGGAGGGGGAACACCATGGCAGGCTGGGCATCTTCCCTGCTAACTACGTGGAGGTGAGCTGGAGCCAGCAGTAGCTGGGGGCGGGAGGCTGGGGGTAGTTGGGTGTGCAGAGCCCTTATCCATCCTTGGCTTCTCTCCTGAGCTGGCAGCCACAGCTCACAGCTTCCCTGAGATGTGAACTGTGAGCTCCAGGGCAGGGGCCATGTCTCAGCCTCATTCATAGCCTCGGCCCCCACAGCCTGGCCCAGCACGTTGCCTGTACTCGGGAAATGTTTGTTAAATGAGGGCTAAAGCTGGAACCCAGTCAGCTGGGGAGAGCCAGGCCTGCCAGCCCTGTCAGTGTCCCAGACTTTCACCATGCAGAACCCATCTCTCTCAAGCCGTCTTTGGGATGAATCCTAATTACACCCGGCAAGAGTACAAAGTGCGTGATGTTTACAAACCGCGTCTGCATGCATTCATTCTCATGTGTACAGCTGACCCTTGAATAATGCAGGGGTTAGGGGCGCTGACCCCCACACAAAGATGACCCCAACACAAAGATCCACGTGTAACTTTTGACTCCCCCCAAACTTAACTACTAATAGCCTGCTGTTGACAAGAAGTCTTACCGATAACATAAGCCTTACTGATTAATACCTATTTTGTATGTTATATGTATTATATACTGTATTCCTACAATAGTGTAAGCTAAATCATAAGGAAGAGAAAATACATTTTATGCATTTATGACACAACCTTTTTATAACGTTTTTGGGGCATATTTCTAGGCTACCTGGCTCATTTGTGAGTTTTTAAAAATTGTTGGAAATCTCAAAAAATGTTCTAATATATTTAATTGAAAAAATCTGCATATAAATGGACCCACACAGTTTGAACCTTTGTGTTCCAGAGTCACCTGAATTACCTCCCTGGTTCCTCTCATTAACCTGGGAAAGTGATTGATCAGCCCCGTTTTACAGATGGGCTTGTGAAGGTTCAGAGACAAGTTGTTAAGTAAAAGATCCAGAATCTGAATGAAGATATAGGTTCTGGACTTGATAGATAAAGGACTGTCAGTTATCTTTGGTATTTGTGTTTTTTAAGCTACCTAATTTATTAATTTAAAGTTGGTCATAATGTATCCTTATTATCACTTTAATGTCAGTAAGATCTGTAGTGATGTCCTTTCTTTCTTTCCTGATATTAATAGTTTGTGTGTTCTCTAATTCTGGCTAGAGATTTGTTCATTTTAGTGATCTTTTCAAAGAACCAACTTTAGATTTTATTGATTTTTCTCTATTTTTGTTTTCCATATCATTGATTTCTGCCGCTTTAATATTTGCTTCTGCTTGCATTAGGTCCAGTTTGCGCTTTTTTCCCCTAGGTTTTTTTTTATTTTTTTATTTGAGTTTCAGCATCGTGATAAAACACTTAGCCGATGGATCACTCTGTATTTTCATCCTCCAACCCCCTAGTTTTTTAGGGTGGTAGTTTATATGATTGATTCGAAACAGTTCCCCCTACTATATGCATTTAATGCTATAAATTTTCCTCTGTGCACTGCTTTAATTGCATCCCACAGATTTTGATTTTATTTTTCATTCAACTCAAACTGTTTTCCCATTTCCTTCGTGACTTCCTCTGAACTATGGGTTGGGTGGTTGTTTAATTCAGGCTTTTGATTTGGCAGACATCAGTAGGCCTCTCCCCCCTCAGGACTCTCTGATCCTGAAATGTTGCAAAGTATATACAGTATTCCATGTCATCAGTCATGTAGATCTTAGTATGAAATAGTTTATTAGCATCCTGGCCAGTGGTGCTCAGTTATTTGAGCATCGTCCCATGTACTGAAAGGTTGGATTCCTGGTCAGGGAACATACCCAGGTTTTAGGTTCAATCCTGGTCCAGTGTGTGCAGGAGACAACTGATCAATGTTTCTCTCTCTCTCTCCCTCTCCCTCCCTTTTTCCCTCCCTCCCTCTTCCTTCTCTCTCTCTAAACTCAATGAGAACAGCCCTGGTGGGTGGCTCAGTTGATTAGAACATCATCCTGATACTCCAAGGTTTCAGGTTTTATCTCCCGTCAGGGCACATACAAGAAACAACCAATGAATGCATAAATAAGTAGAACAACAAGTTGATGTTTCTCTCTCTCTAAAAATCAATCAATAATAAACATTTAAAATATAAAATCAGTAAAAACATTTAAAATACATATATATATATATTTTTTTAAATATATTTTATTGATTTTTTACAGAGAGGAAGGGAGAGAGATAGAGAGTTAGAAACATCGATGAGAGAGAAACATCGATCAGCTGCCTCCTGCACATCTCCCACTGGGGATGTGCCCGCAACCCAGGTACATGCCCTTGACCAGAATCAAACCTGGGACCTTTCAGTCCGCAGGCCGACGCTCTATCCACTGGGCCAAACCAGTTTCGGCTAAAATACATATATTAAAAAAAGTAGTTGATTAGCTTCTTGATTTTTATGAGTAGGGTGAAGCAAAGAGCACGGAGATTCTGGGCCACTGGTGGGGTAGAAGGGGAGGAGGAGGAGGGACACTGGGTCCTCGGCAATGGTAACATGTCAGCGCCTCACTGTTAGAACACGCCAGCAGGTGTGCCCTGCTCCTTAATAATGCCGGTGGTCATGATCCAGCATCAAGAAGGATTCAGGAACCTGGAGAAGGCACTGTGCGTAAATTAAATAAGAGTCCAAAGACGAAACATAATTTTGAAAGGCATTATAGGGAGTCAGAGAAGACTTAGCTAAAGGAACCGAGTTCTCCTTGTCTCAGGACCCCTTGCTTTTTATTAACCCAAGTTGTCCTAAGGCGAGGTAGATATACATCAAAGGGCCAGGTTTCCTATACACAATCCATTGTCAGATGATCAGGTTTTGGAGAAACTGCCTTCGGCTGTTCAGGTGTTTGGCCAGCAGGAGGCAATAACATGTAGATTGAAATGCCTTTAGCTCTCTGGCAGCAAGCAATCATTTATTCATCCTTTTCAGGTTTGGGGAAATGCCCTCCCTCAGCCATCTCCAGATATTCAGCCCTGCTGACATGCTGGAACTGGCTTCCGGCACTTGAAACTTGTTTCTTCTGCCCTCCAAGTTCAGCTCACTGAACTGGCCACTGCCCACTCCAATAACACCCACCCCACACACCTCCAGTGCAAAATCTCCCTCCAGAGGTCTTCTGGGCCTCAGCAGCCCCTTGGCTGTGCTTACCACCCTAGGTTTGTGACTGGTGTCTGTCCCTCTCTGGCCTGGGGACAGATCTTACCGTACCACCTTCTCTTAGTTGCCTCACCCTCCCAGGAGCCCCAGGTCTGTGACCGATTAATGTCTTGGCTGAGCCTTTCTCTCTCTTTCTTTCTTACTGCAGGTGCTGCCTGCAGATGAAATCCCCAAGCCGCACAAGCCCCCGACCTACCAGGTGCTGGAGTATGGAGAAGCCGTGGCCCAGTACAATTTCAAGGGGGATCTGGAGGTGGAGCTGTCCTTCCGAAAGGTGCGGCAGGGCCAGGCAGGAAGTGGGGGTCGGCGGGGGCTGGTGAAGACGGAGGAAATACGTACATTGTTAAAAAGAGGTGTATCCACCTTCATCTAGTATTTTCAATTTTTTTCTCAGTCTCTTTGGATTAATTCCCCTTAATGTAGCCCATATTTTAAAAGTCCAAAACTTCGAGAGTAGTGCTTTTTTTCATTCCAGGTTGGGAGGTTTTGAGGATCACAGTCAGCATTTTTACTGTTTTCTTTTTTTTTTTGTAATCCTCACCAGAGGATATTTTTTTCCATTGATTTTATAGAGCAAGTGGAAGGGAGGGGGAGAGAGAAACATTGATGTGAGAGAGACTCATTGATTGGTTGCCTCCTGCACACACCCGGACTGGGGCCAAGGATCGAGCCTGCAGCCAAGGTACTTGCTGTTGACCTGAATCGAACCCACGACCCTTCAGTCTGCAGGCCGACACTCTAACCACTGAGAAACCCAGCCAGGGCATTTTTAAAAGAGTGAAATGGAAATATTAGAAGGCCTTGCATGTAGCCTGGCTAGGAAGCTCATTTGGTTTGAGAGTTGTCCCAATATGCCAGGGTTGTGGGTTTGATCCCAGATCAGGGCACATACAAGAATCAACCAATGAATGCATAAGTAAGTGGAACAGCAAGTCGATGTTTCTCTTTCTCTCTCTCTAAAATAAATCAACTAAAAAAAAGAATGCCTTGCATGTAGTAAGGGTATCCTATCACATTTGTAGGCATTTATGCCCTGGCCAGTGTGGCTCAGTTGGTTGAAACATCGCACCAGACACCGGTCAGGGCTCATACCTAAGTTATTGGTTCGATCGGCAGTCCAGTCGGGGCGTGTGCAGGAGGCAACAGATCAATCTCACATCGATGTTTCTCTCTCCCTTCCTCTCTGTAAAATTAAAATAGAAATGTTTTTTAGGCATTTATGCCTGTGTGTGTGTGTGTGTGTGTGTGTGTGTGTTGGATTGTTACTACAATACAATTTTTATTATAGATCGTGTTCAAGAAAGCTTAAAAAATGTTGTCCTAGAAAGCAGGGTTTGGTCTCCCTTTGGCTGATTTTTGGGGCAGAAGCCATGAATGCCCCTAGTGAATGTCCCCCAGAAGAGCTGGCCCCAGGGACAGAATGGGGAGGAGGTGGCTGGGTGGAGAGGTGGGGGCCAGAGAGGGCTGGAGACCTCTTCCCCTGGGCAGCCCACTTGACCTCAGTCGTGAGGGCCTGAGGAGGCAGTAGCTGTCATTAGGGAGTTTGTTTGTTGGCAGTGGTGCCAGGATCACTCGGTGTGGAGGCAGGGACAGGACCAGTGGGGGTTAGTGCCTGGCCAGTGCTTCTTGCCAAGCTGCCAACCATGCCCTTTGCTCCTCACAGCCACGGTGTTGCTATCCTCGCTTCACGAGTGAGGAAACCAAGGCTCAGAGAGGCAAAGCAAGCTGCCCAGGGCAGCTTGAAACTGGCAAGAGCCCGGTTTGGACCCGTGTTATTAGCCACCAGGCTCCCCTGTGACTTCTGCTCCGTGGCCAGGCAGCCTGGGTTTGGCTCCTGACTCTCCACTTCCTAGCCCCTCGGAGCCCCGTCCCTCTGGGTATCCGTGTAGGCAGCCTTGGGTGCGAGGTGCCCAGGAAGCCCTCCAGATCCTGACTCCTTTCTCCCCCAGGGGGAGCGCATCTGCCTGATCCGAAAGGTGAACGAGAACTGGTATGAGGGGCGCATCTCGGGCACCGGGCGCCAGGGCATCTTCCCGGTCAGCTACGTGCAGGTGAGCCGAGAGCCCCGGCTCCGCCTCTGCGACGAGGGCCCCCAGCTCCCCGCGTCTCCCAGCATGACCGCCGCCCGGCAGGCTGCCCGTCACCCCAGCTCCCCGGTAACACCACGCAGTCCAGCTGATCCCACCGATTGGGGGGGCCGGACCTCCCCCCGCCGCACCGGCTTCTCCTTCCCGGCCCAGGAGCCCAAATCCCAAACCCAGGTAAGATGACCTGTTTCAGGTGGAGAGCTGATCCCCGCTCCCTACCCCGTACCCCCCATTCCTGTGACGGTCACTTCAGAACCCTTCCCAGACCGCCCCCGGACAGACTGGTGGGTGGGTGACTGGGCAGAACCTGGCATGGCAGCCCCACCCTGGCCTTGTGGACCTATGAGCCCTCCAGTTGGTTCCGGCCCTCGAGCTGCAGGGAGAATAGGATAGGCAGCCGGCCCTCAGTGGGGCCCCAAAGCCTCCTGACCCTTCAGACTCCACTTTTGTGACTTGTCCCTCTCGGCCTCGGGCACAGGGCAGGGCCGGGAGCCTGGGGGGTGGGCTGCTGGGCCCTGCTGTGACCTTGAGTGTGCCAAGCCAGCTCAGCCAAGGGTTCGCAAGCCTGAGGGAGGGCGGTGAAGGATGAAGAAAAGACAGACCAAGAGAATAAGCTGGGTCTAGGTGGATCTTCCTGTGCCTGGCTGAGGCCACAGAGAGAGATCCAGAGGCCAGCTGAGCCTTTATTTTATAGCCAGAGGTAAACAAGGTAGTGGTCACCATAGTTACAATGTTCTTGTGAGTTTCACTTGTTTTGGCAGCACTTGCTGCACCTCCCACAGCCCATTAGCTACCCAGATAAGATCTAGGGAGCTTCATAAGGTCAAGCCTAATTATGCTAAGAGGGCTGTGCCCTCTAAGCTGGGACTTGTTTTGGCTTTGCCAACAGGTCAGTCCGAGGCTTAACCCTATAGCTGCGCCCTACACTTGGGCATATCACTTCCTGTCTCTGGATGTGGGTCTTCTCACTGGTAGAATGTTCCTCACCTGCGGATGAGGATGATAATTCCCACTACAGAGGGTAGCTGGGTGGGTTTGAACTACAAGTTTATTCTTAAGGAGAGTCACTGGTCCCCATCCCGAGGGCTCACAAACAAGCCCGTTTGCTCCCGCAGTCATCTCTTCACTCAGCAAACCAGTATGAGCAGGCACAGCCGGGCGGGCTCCTTCCCACTGTCCACAGGGTTCAGAAACCAGCCACCTGCCCCACCTGGGACGTGAAATGTCACAGACCCCCTGTGCCGTGGGGGGGCAGAGGGGGCAGTGCTGCCTGGGGAAGGGGGGCCATTTCACTTCTTCCCCCTCATGCTGCCTTTGCCCACCTTTCCTCCTGTGGACCCCAGAGTCTCAGCACCCCTGGGTCTTCTCTGTCCCATCCTGGAGGTTCCAGCCGTGCTGTGGACCTGGGGACCTCCTCCCACACCACCACTCAGATTAACTGGACCCCGTGAGTACCGACTGGACTGCGGGAGCTTGGTCAGGGGTGGGGGCTGCATCAGGCAGTGCTGAGCACACCGACCCCCTTAGCCTCCAGGACCCTGATACATCAACTTGTTCCACTTATTTGTGCATTCATTAATTGATTCTTGTATGTGCCCTGATCTGGGATCAAACCCACAACCTGGCATATTAGGACAACTCTCTAACCAGCTGAAGCAGGTGTGTCAGGGCCCTGGAGGGATGGGCTAGGGGCAGGCTGGAACTGGGAAACTCCTGATAAGGTAGCACTAGTTCTTGCTGTGCTTCCGGGTGACTTGGTGGTGAGGTGGGGCTGTCTGCAGTGCTCCTGACCTGTCCCTGTCAGCCCTGCGGCCCCCTCCCTTAGCCCCCAGCCCCAGTCTCCTCAGTTCCCAGCCCTGAGATCAGTGCGTGGAGGTGTGGGAACTGGGAGAACAGACTTGAAGGCACTGGGAGCGCCGAGGAGGCAGGGTTTGGGTGGTTAGGGCTTGGAGGGCAGGGAGCAGGCCTGGGGAAGAATGCACTAGAGCCAGGCAGAGCTGCCATTCCCGGAGCTGGGCCAAGGCTGTCGGGAGCACAGAGAAACCCTGGAAAAGTCGTCGGATGTGGCAACACTTGGGTTTAGACTCTGGGTCTGGTCTCTGGAAGGGGTGAGGGCTCTGGTGGTTGCCATGACAATGTCTCCTGCAGGTACCGGGCAGTATACCAGTATAGGCCCCAGAACGAGGACGAGCTGGAGCTGCGGGAGGGGGACCGGGTGGATGTCATGCAGCAGTGTGACGACGGCTGGTTTGTGGGTATGTGTGCCTGGGGGGCGTGCTGGGGGGTAGGCTAGAAGGACGTGTACCTCAGGGTCCTGGAGGGATGGGCTGGGGGCAGGCTGGAAGCAGGTGTATCGGGGTCCTGGAGGGATGGGCTGGGGGCAGGCTGGAAGCAGGTATCTCAGGGTCTCTGGGGGGCGGGGATATTGGTTCAGCACAGAGTCATGGCCTGACCCAGCACTGATTCCCCAGAGCCAGCACTTCTGTTGTTGCCTTCATACCTCAAAGAGGGATGAGGCCCAGGTCACTGATTAAGTCAGTTCAGACTTGGACCAAGTCTCACACCCGTGTATCCCCCCCTCCCACCCCGGTTAGCAGCTAGCTCCCCAGCCGCTTCCCACCAAAAGGAGAGAGAGATCCCGGCCCTCAGAGCTGGTTCCAAGGGCAGCCCCGGCAAAGGACTAAAGCAGGAAGCCTCCAGCTGGCCTTGGCCTGGTTCAGGGTGACCAACCAGCAGGTTTCACGTGGCCTGCTTCCCCAGTGGGCAGGCCCTGTCCAGGCCTCCGCTTCAGAGGCTGGGCCGTCCTCAGAGACCAGTGAGCAGCCAGGGTGCCGTGCAGCAGGCTGCGAGGCCTGCAGTGTCGGGGGGTTGCCTGGGCAGGGGTGGCCTCAGGGGCAGTCCCTTGACCTGGCAGCCCATCCTTTCTCACCGGAACCCCAGCACCTCACTGGTGACCAGGCTTCAGCCATACCAGTGATTCTGAAGTCCTAACCTGTTAATGTCCTTACCTCAGAGAGGTGTGTTTGGGGCACATTCTCATTTTACTCTGTACACGTCTGCTTTTCAGTGTCTTTCTAACTATCGACGTTTTGCAAATTTATATAGACAAGAAGAAAAGCACCACCTTTGTGGTATATGCCTCATGTGCTTTTAGAGGAAAAGTTTAGAAAGTTCAATTTCTCAGTCACACTAACACCGGTTAAATGTTCAGTGGCCACATGTGACTTATCATGGTGGGCAGTGCAAGTCAGGGAAGGCTTCCTGGAGGAAGTGTGGGAGCTGGGCCTTGAAGGGTAGCAGAGCAGGAAAGAGAGGCCCTCCAGGTAGGGGAACAGTATCAGCAAGGCCTGCATACAAGGTGGGCATGGGCTACTCAGAAGGAAATCAGGATGCCAGCGGGCCAGGAAGGGAAGGCCCAGGACTTTAATTTCATATTTCTAGTATTCCCCCTTCACCACCCCAGGACACAGGTGTGTTTTTTTGGGGGGTGGCAGACAAGAGGCCTGAATTTTAGGCTCACTTCTACCCCTAAACAGCTGAGTGCTTTGGGGGAATTCACTTGGCCTCTTAGGCCTCATTTGCCCCCTCTCTAAAACGAGGGTGTCATACTAGACCAGCCGTGGGCAAACTACGGCCCGCGGGCCGGATCCGGCCCGTTTGAAATGAATAAAACTAAAAAAAAAAAAAAGACCGTACCCTTTTATGTAATGATGTTTACTTTGAATTTATATTAGTTCACACAAACACTCCATCCATGCTTTTGTTCCGGCCCTCCGGTCCAGTTTAAGAACCCATTGTGGCCCTCGAGTCAAAAAGTTTGCCCACCCCTGTACTAGGTTCCGTGATTCGCCCCCCTGCTTCCTTGCTTTCCCGAGGAAGGGCGGAGTTACTCTGTGCTGTGTGCAGTTATCCACAGTTGCTGAGTGCTCAGATTGGTGGGTCATTATGGAACTTAGCAAGTGTAGCTTTGCTTACCTAAGCTTTTGCCTTTAGCAGGCAGGAATGGGGAAGACAATTCCTCCCTCCCTGGGACATGGACTCCACCTGCAGTTCTGGCCACTGCCAGCAGGGGGCAGGGCCCTCATCTTTCCTATTTTAAAAACAAGTGTGGGAATGATCATTGTCTTTTCCTCTTTCAGGTGTCTCCCGGAGGACCCAGAAATTTGGGACATTCCCTGGAAATTATGTAGCTCCGGTGTGAGAGGTCTCCATGGCAACTCAGAGCCCGGCCAGGATGGAGTGGAGAGCAGTAGCTCTTCTCAGAGGAAGAGAGGACCCCCTTCCCACATCTTCCTCCCCAGGACCTGGCTGCTGGCATCTGCAGACAACCCAACAGCCTTTCCCTTGGAGCCCCCTCGGAGCCCCCCGGACTGACTCCCACCCACAGCTCACAAGCATTCCTCTCACAGTCCTTTTATTTCCTCCCCTACCCCGTTCCCCAAATACAGAGGTCTGCTTTGAAGTGGAGACTGTTTCCCGGCCTTATTGAGACCAGACCCCCGAGTCCCCCACCCCCACCCTGCTGTGGCGTTTCCTCTAACAGGGACTGGCTCCCAGCTTCACCCCCATGGGGTTCCTCTAACAAGGAGCAGCTTCCTAACCTCATAGAGACCAAAGGCCGCCCGCAGGGGATTCCTCCCCTGTCACTCCAGCTGGTCTGCTGCCCCCTTTGCCTTCCTGCTTCCAGCTGGGCCTGGGAGTGGGGTGGGGGTGGGCGCAGCCCCTCTTTAGCACTTGGGGCCTGGCAAGAGGTCTTACCTGAAGGCCCCCTTTTCCCAAAAGCTGCCAAGCCCTGGGCCTGGGCTGTGCATATGACCTGCTACTGTAGTGCCCAGAAGGTCGGGCCTCAGAGGTCGTGCCCTCCTGCCTCCCCAGCTCCCCCCAGCCCTCAGGTCCCCTCTGGAAGAGAATGTAAAATAAATGTGGATACGGGGACCTTGCCTTGCACTCCTTTTGGGTGGTGATGGTGAGAGGGCTGGATTGTGGGAATTCATTCTTCAGGGGCTGTGCTGAATCAGGTGGGATGTGAGTGTGTGTGTGTGGGGGGGGGGAGTAGGGGAGGCTGGAAAAGCAGCATGATTATCTCTAAGATCTAGGGCCTCAGGTCTCAGGCGGCACTGAGCAGCCCCCAGGACTAGGCAGCTGTCTGACAAGCAGGGCAGAGAGGGAGAGAGAACACCAGCATCACGGGGACCAGGGTGGGGTCTGATTGTGGGGAGAAACCAGAGATGGGAGCTGGATGTGGCCTTGTGTGCAGGCTGTTTTGATTCTGGAGCCAGCGTGGGGTTGCTGGACTGGATGACACGTCTAACTGCTCTCTGCTCCTAATGTTTTCCTTCTGTGCTCCACTCCACACCAAAGCCCTGCGTGTCTGTTTACTTTCCTCTTCAGGCTCGGCTTGGGGTTTTGAGCAATCGATGGTGGGAAGCTGGGAGGGGTGGGCCACAGCTAGCCAAAGCGACTTCTCGCCCAAGGTTTCAGAGTCCTAGGGCGTGGTGGTTCCTGTGGGGTGACGGGTGGCACGGTCTGGGCTCCGCTGCCCTGCCAGGGGAGGAAAGCACCATTCCTGGCCGTGCTGGGAGCTGAGCAGGGCGTAAGGTGCTACGTACCCGCTATCTGCTGTGAGCGTCCCAGCAGGCAGGTTTGACTCCCCAGGAGGAGAGAAATTCAGTTGTCTGGGTCACATCATTATAAAATGCTGAAGTCAGGTTCATGACTGTTGCCATCTGTCTGCACCGAGTCAACCGGGCATTCCTTGTCCAGAGGCCTATGAAGAAGGAAGGTCACATAGGAGGTCAAGGACTAGTCCAGGGCGGTCCCGGGCCGGGCCTCTTACATTCTTTCTGCAATCCTGTCGTCCAGGCCTGTTGCTTAAAGTGCCCCCACCCTAGTGGGTGGGAAGCGGTGGTGGGACCCGTTGAGTCAAGGCAGGTGGGTGAGGCCTGTGAATGACAGGGCTGTGGCCTGGCCCTGGCTGGTTCCTTGAGCCTGGGTGGGGCTGGGCCCGGTGGTGGTTAAACAGCAGCTGGAAGAACAAGACCTGCGTATCCTCCTGCAGCCACTCTGGCCGGCCCAGTCCTCACCTTGGTCTGTTCTCAGTGGACAGGTCCACCCTGTCCCATAACATGAGCATTCTCCGGGATCCCACTCGCTTGTTCCTGATCCCTGTCCCAGCTCCTTTGCATTTCCTGATGCCTTCAAATAAGGTATCGGGTTGAGCCTGCCTTTACCTGCGGCAGAAACCAAATCCACTCCCTCTCTTTGATGGGGACCTGAAACCTTGGCAGCAAACCAACCCTAGGCCCCTGGGCTTCCTGCCAGGAGATCCCTGATGGATGATGACCACTCAGGTGCCTTGATCTGGCCCGATGGGGGAGGGTCAGAGGCCTAAGAGGGGAGGGGGACCTGAGGGGCCAGAGGGGCCAGAGCCAAAAAGGACCTTGGGCCCCTGGTCCCATTAGAGAGGTGAGGTGGTGAGGGCCCAGAGGCATAGAGTTGCTTGGAGCAGAGCCAGTCCCTTCTGTTCCAGGGGTCATGCCCTGCGACTTTGTCTTTGTCTTGAGAGTTTTGTGAATGCAGAACCCTCAGAGCAGAGATCCTGCAGGTGAACCTGTCCATGTGTCTAGAGACTGTCCAAGGCAAAGTCAGGAGCACCCAAAGGTGTAAAACAGATGAATCCATTCAATCATCAAAACAATATTCATTCAAATATTTATCCAATGCCCTACTGGGAAGGATGACTGCTGTGCTAGGCTCTGGGAATGGAACAGTGAGCCAAACAAAAACCCAGCCTGTCCCTCTGAGGGAGACTGTGTGTAGGCAGCTTTTATATGGGAGGACAATCTGTAACAACTATGCACTGTCCCGTTTTACAGATGGGGGAAACTGGAGGGCCTGGGAGGGAGCTGAGGAAATTGCCCAAGGTCACACAGCTAGTGGAGGCAGACCTGGCATTTGAGGTGAGGTCTGTGTGGCCCCAAGGCTGTGTTGGCACTGCCTCTAGCTTTCTGCTCCTCAGAGCATCTGGCCTAGGTGGGGGATTGGACAGGTGCATCAGGTCAAGCACGCACACCACTAGGCATGGGACCAGTTTGTGGGAGAGTGGCTTACCCACACTGGGGACAGAGGCTGTGGGAGGCTAAGGACGGGGAAGTAGCAGGCTGGAGGCAGCTGGGCTGTGTGTGCAGGGAGCGAGAGACCCAGGGCATAGGTTGGTAAGAGGGGGTGAGGGCACTCCTTGCAAAGGGAACTGGGAGGGAATGACTACATTTTTTTAAAAATATATTTTATTGATTTTCCACAGAGAGGAAGGGAGAGAGATAGAGTTAGAAACATCGATGAGAGAGAAACATCGATCAGCTGCCTCCTGCACACCTCCCACCGGGGACGCGCCCGCAACCCAGGCACATGCCCTTGACCGGAACCGAACCCGGGACCCCCCAGTCCCCAGGCCGACGCTCTATCCACTGAGCCAAACCGGTTTCGGCGGGAATGACTATATGAGGCAGACAAGTTACAGCTGTGCCCACAGGTGTGCTCCCCCCCTGAAAACAGACCAGCCTGTCAGAAAAAGTGCAAAGTGGAGACCAACGGGAGATGGAGTCAGCTCTGGGGGGGCCCTGAGGTGCCCAGGAGGAGGATTGCCAGGTATGACTCTGGGGAACCATTTGCCAGATGGTTCTGAGCTGGTGCCTGGGGGCTCTCTTTGGCTGTCCTCTCCTGCTCCCTGGAGCCTGGGTTCCAGGGGGTTGGCAGAGGGCTGGTGCGTCGGGGCGAGGGCCAATGGGGGTTGTTGGGGCTGGCCAGCGCCAGGCAGGACCGCAAGGGAGTGAGGGCAGTAGGAATGGAAAAGGCCTCCCCCCAGAAGACAGAGGGACATGCATAGCCCAGGAGGGTGCGGGTGCCCTCCATCGGAGTCTCTTCATCTCCTCCTGGACCCCGGCAGCCTCCCAGCGTGGAGCAGGTTGCCGGGCATCTCCAGCGGGAAGCTTTGCGCCGCTGCCCCTCGCGGGCTCAGGCCTCGGGAAGGGGGCGGGGCGGCCCGTTTGGGATCTGTGGGTGTCGGGCCGCATCTGCACCAGCGTGGGAGCCTGAAGCTGGCGGAAGGGCCGGCGGACCGCAGACAGACGGAGTGGCCGGCCCTCCCCCGCCCCGGCCCTCAGGCCCTCTGAAGGGGGCGGGGCAGCCGGCCCGGGAGGGTTACCAGTCGCCGCCACCAGAAAACTCCCCTGCTGGGGGGGGAGGGAGGGGCAGCCGCACCTCGGGGAGGACAGGCGCAGCCTCTCTAGCTACTCTAGGGAGAGTCACCCAACCCGCCCCCCACCCGACCCCCCAGCGGGGCGCGGACCAGACGGCAGCGCTGGGGCCGGGCTGCGTGGAGGAGGCGGCTTCCCCGGCCGGGGCGGCGGCAGGGGCGGCCCCGGGATCACATGGGCGGAGGCAGGTCCCGGAGCCCCGGGCTGCTCTGCCCAGAGCCGGGCAGGCGGCGGCGGCGGCAGCGGGAGCTGCGGTGTCCCCTCGCCCTCCCTCCCTCGCCTCCTGGACTCGGCCGCTTAACATTACTGGTGAGCGGGGACATAATAGCGTTTCAACCTGCGCCTGGTCCGCGGGGTCTACAGCCTCCTCAGGCCGGCATCTCGGGGCTCCGCTAGCTCGTTGACTGGTTCTTATTCATAGCCCAATCATTTCTGCGACGCTTGTTCTCTTTAGTTATGTAGAGGTCAAAGATTAGATCCTGTAAAGTTGACTTATTGTTGTTCCTTCTCTATATTTGTGATCAGGGTTCGGCGCACTCTCCCAACTCGCCGCCGGGCGTCGCGTGAGCGTTCTCTCAGTTTTCCTTTCAGTTTATTTATCTT